GGTGGGCGGATGCGGGTAGCGAGGAGGAGGAGGAGGAGAAGGAGGAGGAGGAGGGATGGGGTCCCCAGCCCCTGCAGCCCCCCCAGATCACGCTGCTCCTCCCATCCAGCTGCTGGGGAATTCCCTGGGCAGGTTCCCCCTTCCCCTCCCAAACTCCATTCCCGTTGCAATGGGGTACAACCCCATCAGCCTCAGGTCAATGCCTCATTTGGGGGGCACAGTCCATCATCCCTGGCCCCTCCACCAGGTCCTCCCCAGCAGGGAATTTTACTCGGGGGGGAAAAATAAAACATCTCCTGCTCTGTACAATTTCTTCACACATTTTAAGTAGATCTATAAAGACAGCAATTGTAGCCACCAAGCTAGTAATTTCTTAAAAACAGTATGAAGGTGAAATAAAATATGGCTAAAAGGATTTTTATAGTGATGCCATGGTTAGGCCGTTCTCATTGCTTACTTCCTGGAAGAACCTGCTAAAACTGGGCCAGAAAAATTATTCTGATCCATGACATTTTCAGATCTGACATTTTTATTACTTGACTAGTTAAAAGTACATATTAGAAATCTTTAAATATTTTATTGAAGAAAGTCTGATCCAAACACATTGTTTCAAGTTCATTTGAGAGCATATTATTATCATTATGTCCACTCTCTTTTTTTAAAAGCATTTCTCCTTCTTTTTAAAGATAAGAAGTTTCTTTGATTTAGAATTTTTGTATGTTTTGTTTTGAAAATGTCAAATTAATGATTTTGACCCTTTCTAAAGTTTTTTTAGAGGTGGGGGTTTGTGCTGAAGTCAAATTATTTCCTGAAAAAGACCAAACAACCTATTAAAATGAAAAGGCTTTGGAGGAGCAAATGGGGAGGTGGGGAATTACACTGCCAAATAGTTTTGTTTATTACTCCATTCATTTTTTAATAGAGCCATATTTCTACCTGGAATTGCTTGCCATTCAGGCTATTGTCAGGGCTGTTGCAAAGGGAAGAGCCATGGAAGTCCACACCAGTGGGGAGCACTGGATTAACAAATCACCTACTCGGGCCAGTCCTCCTGGGTTACAGGTTTAGAAAAAGAAAAAAGGAGAAAGGAAAAGAGAAAAAGAAAAAAGGAAAAAAGAAAGAAAAAGAAAAAAAACAAGGAAAAAAGAAAAGAGAAAAAAGGAAAAAGAAAAAAGAGAAAAGGAAAAAAGAAAAAAGCAGGGAAAAAGGGAAAAAAAGGCTGGAGGCTCACAGCAAAGCAGATGCTCAGCCTGAGCCTTCCTGGGCAAATTCCCTCTCCGGCAGGGAAGCACGCTCTGGAGCAAAATTCAACGCCGGAGATAACATGGAGGGAGGGCGCTGCGTGTTCCCGCTCCCCAGCAAGGGGATTGACATCAACCTTGAGGCTCTGGTCGGGAGAGGAAAACAAGCCCGTCATGAGGCTGGAAATATGGCTGAGGTTAAGGAGGGACCCGGCTCTCTCAGCCTTCGCACCTAAATCCCGCCCACGACCTGCCCCTGCCGCAGACCTGCCTGCAGCTGCCGGCGTGGGCAGACGGCGGCAAGGACGGGCAAAACGAGCCCGTGCCGGGGGCACCGATGGACACAACCGTGGCTGTGGGGTGGCCATGGGGCAGTCACTCACAGCCACGGTGACCTTCAGCCAACCCTTCAGCCTCAAAACAAGCCAGCGGCGCGGTGCCGGCGCGAGGCGACAGCCTGGCCGCGTCTCCGCACGCTCCCGTTTTTCTTCTTTACTCATTTTCTGCCTGACGGGTCGGGATCCTTCTTCCTTCCTCCCTCCCCTCCCACTCTCGGCCTGACTCACTTCAATTCCAATAATAATTAACCATTCCAATCATTATTGCGACCGCTAATATTACCTTCCCTCTCTCTCCCACACCCCGTTTTGCCCCCTGCCTCCGTTTCCCCGTGAAGCCGGACAAAAACCACATCCCTGCACGGAAATGGGGCGAAGGCGGGGGCGTGGGGGGGGGCAACCGGAGCGATGCTGGCTATCGCCGCCGGTGATGAAGCGCTGCTCTGCGGCTCTCCGGATGCGGCCCGTCGGCCGTGCCGCCCGGGGGCCGACGCCGGCTGATTGCTTGCAATATTTCGTGCGCCGCTCGTATGCAAATTGCCGGCGAGACCCTCCCCGCGGAGCAGCCTCCCAACCGCTCGCTCATTGGCACGGCCGCCGGACAAGCTGTTTCGCTGAACCTATATAAACAAGATGCTGGTTTGTTACTGGGAGGGAAGCGAGTGCCGGATCCCCAAGGTGCTGCGGGACCTCCCTTGCTGGGCGAGGAAAGCAGGATGCCCCACGGCATCCTCCCCGGTGATGCTGAGGCCTGGAAGGGTTTATGCCTCTTGCAACAAAAATAAAAGCAAATAAAAGGTCTCCCAAGGATGGGAGAAGGAATGGATCCTCATCCTGGTTCCGGATCCGCTCTGCACCCGTCTGTCTCATGAGCTGGCTGTTCGTGGATGCTGCAGGAGGATGCAGCTGAACGCGCGAGGATGCGCTCCCTGGGGAACGCGATGGGGGTGGCTCATAGTCCCCACACTGTGCTGGCCCACAGGCACCCGCCGAGCTCTCCGGCCCGGCAAAACCACACCAAAACCGACGGCAGGACCCGGCACCTGCCCAGCAGCGCAGCTCGGAGCTGGTCTGCACCCCACACAGAGCACCTGGCTGGGATGCGATCCCACTCCAGCTGTGCCTCAGTTTCCCCACCTCTGGAAAGTCTGGGTTTGTGCGCGGTGCTGGGGCTCCTGTTCCCAGCCAGCACCGCCGGGCTGGGAAATGCCATACTGGGAGCACGCTCGTGCTGAGGTCCCAGACCTTCTCCCCTGGTGGGTGTCTCCATCCCC